GCAGTCAGCTGGAACAGAATCATGTCCCTGCCCAAACAACTGTGTCTCTGACCTTGGCTTGAGGCTATAATGAATCGGTAAAATAGGAGTCACTAATCAGCCCAAATTGCTTCTCATAGCAACTCTAGTTACCTGCCAGCTATACCTACCTGAAGAGAAGCACATAGCGGTCCTCCACTGACTCTAGGCCTAGACCACAGGAGGTTGGTGGCACCTTAATTGGGGAGAACGGGTTTGTGTTAATGACTAGAGCGGAATCAGTGGAATGGTATCAAATACATCACACACATGGTTTCCAGGTGTTTGATGCCATTATATTTGTGCCGTTCCGGCCATTATTATGAGCCGTCCTCCCCTCAGCAGCTACCTGTGGCCTAGACATTACATTCCATTGACTCATTGAGTGGTAGCCGGGGTAAAGGTCGGTTAGGGCCATGCTGTATTGTTTTGTTTGTTTGGTGTTTAAAACATCAGTTATGAAATATGACACCTGATCAACTCTAAATATGAATTACTTTTCAAAATACTTTTGTTTATATTGTCGAGCATTACCATTAATTAACTTGCATCTTGTCTTTGTGTTTATGAGTTCTCCAGGACAGTGTGGTGGACTAGCGAGCAGCGCGTAGCCTACTGGTGCTTTACTGCGTTTGTGAGAATGCCCGCGCCTGATTGAGCGTCTGTTCACTTCGGCGGCGCTACTCTATTTGGAGAGGGGTGGTATAGAGAGAAATAGTAATGGCGTCTTTTTGTAAGCAGTAACTCCGCCATGGTTCGTTGCACAAAGACTATGGGGAGATGAATGCCGGGGGTAAACACAGAATATAAAGTCTGTGGTAATCACAGGCTTAGGAGATCTTATACGTTTTGTTCTATGAGATAATCTTCATCAGCTAATGTCACTTTTTGTGAGTTTTGAAGCATTTATGTAATTTTAAAAAGCACATAAAGGCTTCATAATTCATAAAGGTCATGTTAACTGACTGACATTATTTCATAGAACAAAACTTATAAGATCTCCTAAGCCTGCGTTAACCAATTCTTTCCCCATTCATTTTCCCCATAGGGATGGCTGAGTGAAAAAGAGGTAACTCATTTCTGGGTTTTAGGACTACAAGCTGGCGAGCTCTATAGGCCTGTTGTTGTTTTGCCAGTGATAAAAGTAATGTGCTCAGCATTTATATATTGAATAATTAATATAAAATGTATATTTAAACTGTACAATTAAAAATGCATTCTATGCTATGGAAATGTTCATTTTTAAAATATGTAGTTATGTGGTTTATTACCTGCCTTGTTATCTTCAAGGTATGGGCAGGGCTATCTGGCAAGTTTATGGAACTCTCAGATTCAGAATCAGATTGAGGTAGTATGGCTGCGCCTACCCACAGGTCAGTGTTAACTTCTCAATATCAGGTAACCTTTCTGGACTTTTATTCTGCATGAGTTTTGTAGGGTTAGTTGTCATGATTTAAATCAGAGTGTCAGCAGGAAGCCTCAATGTTAGAACGTTGGGCCAGTAACCGAAAGGTCGCCAGTTTGAATACCGGAGCAGACAAGGTGAAAAATCTGCTGCTGTGCCCTTGAGCAAGGCACTTAACCCTAATTGCTCCAGGGGTGCTGTACAATGGTGACCCTGGCTGTGACCCCACTCCTTGCAGGTGCCTCAGGGGTAGTTGGGATATGCAAGAAACACATTTCCATCACACACTTGTGTGTATAAGGACAAATATCAGCACCCCCCAAATTATTATTATAGCTCTCAATTTAGCTTAGCTTTTGGTGAATCAACCTAATATTTGTAATTTTTTTGTGTGTGGTATTTTTGCTTTTCTCTCTTTGGAGCCTTATTACAATACAACCTGGACTCAGGGGTAGACGTAACATAGTAAAAGTAAATATTTCTCATTCCATTAAAATCAAATCAAATGTTATTTGTCACATGCTTCGTAAACAATAGGTGTAGACTAACAGTGAAATGCTTACTTACGGGCCCTTCCCAACAATGCAGAGAGAAAAAAATAGAAATAATAGAAAAATAGAAAAATTATAACGCAAGGAATAAATACAAAATGAGTAACGATAACTTGGCTATATACAAGGGGTACCAGTACCGAGTCGATGTGCAGGGGCACGAGGTAATTGAGGTAGATACTGTCGGTACCTAAAGGTAGGGATAAAGCGACTAGGCAACAGAATAAATAATAAAAGTAACAGCAGCGTATGTGATGAGCCAAAAGAGTTCAAAAAGGGTCAATGCAGATAGTCCGGGTAGCTATTGGTGAACTATTTAACTAACTATTTAGCAGTCTTATGGCTTGGGGGTAGAAGCTGTTCAGGGTCCTGTTGGTTCGAGAATTGGTGCATCGATGCTGCTTGCCATGTGGTAGCAGAGAGAACAGTCTATGACTTGGGTGGCTGGAGTCTATTTAGTCTGATATGTTAAGTTTCGTATGATATGTATTAATTTGAGGATGTCCATCATCCATTTCATATGATATGTTACGAATTACAATTTGTATGAGGTTACGAATTGCAATTCATACAAAATGTTACAAATTTGCAACACATTTGATATGTTACGAATTCCAATTTGTTGTGGCTAACATTAGCAAGGTGGCTAATGCTAACTTTAGCTAGGCTAGGGGTTAGGGGTTAAGGTTAGGGTTAGGAGTTAGGTTAAAGGGTTAAGGTTACGGGAATTGTTAGCTAATATGCTAAGTAGTTGCAAAGTAGCTAAACAGTAGTAAGTAGTTGCAAATTAGCTAAAATGCTAAAGTTGCTTGTGATGAGGTTTGAACGCGCAACCTTTGGGTTGCTAGACATTCTCATTATATGTCCGCCCATCCACCCTCCTTTCGTTTTTGCCTTAAGTAACCTTCTGTCTTATGTAATCATACCAAACATTTCATACAAATTTGAGTGTCTCAGATTTTACTTCTAGTCTTCTTTTATAAATACACTTGGATTCCTGTTGCCATGACTCCCTCCACTGTACCAACACCTTCTAGCCTCTTCACTAATATCCAACCTTCACATATCTACAGTATTTAAGGTTACATTTGCAGTGTCTTTGAGAAAAAAAAAGTGATGGGTCTCTGAAAAACTGTTTGACATCTTTGACCAAGACTTGTGGAGATGTTTATTAGGCTAGTTGCAATTGACTAATGACCTGAATGTCCCACCTATGACCTGCACTGCCACTGAATTGAATCCTGTTACAGCTTTTGCAGCCTGACATTGCAGGCCTATCATACTCTCCCTCTGCAGGTGTCGTCTTCCTTCCCCAAGTATGTTGACTAAGAGGTGGCATGCAGAAATAATGCATTCTCAAAGACCAAGTTGTCACAGACTCACATGCTGGGGTTTCAGATCATTTTATCCCCCCCCACACACACACACACACGAGAGAGGGGCTGCCACTGAGCTAGCGGATTAGAACATGCGGCTCAGTCAAACGTTCTCTGATGAGGTTGATGCTGGGAGATTGATCTTCATGTTTGGTTGACTTTCTCTGGCTCATGCTGCTGCCTTCCTCCCCAAACAATTAGCATCTGATTGAGGGGAGATGTGGGTGGTGAGAAGCTCACTGCATGGACTATGTGATGCCTGGCATACAATTCTGAAGAAAACCATTATTTTTTGCTAGGTTCAGTCATTTTAACAAAAGAAACATAATGGAAGATCAATGTCAAAGTTTTTTTATAATAAGAGATTTAAGGCATTATATTTTTTTAAGGGTATTTAGGCTACTTGATGATAGCATTGGACAGCAACTTCTAATCTAGATCATGGTTATACCATCATGTATTAGATGAAGGTGGACTTGTGATTTGACCTGTTACATGATGCCCTGGGCCTTGGTTTAACATAATTTAAATGAAATTCTCTCCGGCAGGACTCTATACAATGGCGGAATAGCTCCTTCTTGTGGTAGTCTATGTAATTGTCTTCATTTCATATCATCGAACACAAAAATCCATACCACACAGAAAATCAGTGATTCAATACCATTTTTATTTTATTTTCAGTGTTTTTATATAAAACATACTGGACTTCGCCAGCATCCACTCCCATTGGCTATAATGTGGTTTTCCCAGAGAATAAGACTAGTACCAAGTCTATTTACAGAACAACCATACAAAAATTGATTTTGAAAAAACAAAATCTACCGACTGCTACCCCAGATCCTCCTAACTGAATAAAATGTAATGGATTCTATCACCCCACCTTTAAGATTAATGCCTCTGATTAAAACAAACAATAATATGCAAAAAGGGCCTCTACAGTTGGCTCCTAGTGAGCCAATAGTATCTCTTACAATTATTTCTATATAAAGTAATGCATATACATTTCTCCTTTACAATAAATTAGTACAGGCACATTCACCTATGGTCATGGTATAGGTCCCTGTTACACAGTCAAAAGCATTGTGTACGAAGACAACGTTTTACAGGTTATTCACCGATCTCACTCTCTCACACACATGGCAAAAACTGTAAAAAAAAAAAAAATACGAGAAAAAAAATGAATGGAAAATCTGGGCAGCAAATTTTTGGTTTTGTGTGAATGATGCACTTTCTGATTTTTAAACATTGAAAGCATCTTATGTATACAATTATATAGATTTATATAAATATGTACAAACAAAACACACTAAGTCCCATAAAAACATTATTGTATTCAAAAACCACAATAATGCCAAGAGAAGCTTGTCCATAAACTTCAATAACTTAAGAAACCATTAAAAAAAAGCAGCTGAAATGAAAAACAAAAACAAACATTCAATAGATACAGTATATATATTTTGCCCTGGTTGAGTCTCAGTTGTAGCCAAGACTTGCACAGGTTGTAGCACCAGCAAATATTTAATAAGCACCATAGTACTGACATGAATCACCCCTACAGCATGAATAGCAAGAAAGTGAACACACAGTACCAATAATAACTGAAAACAACAGAATAAATTAGTGTCAGGCCTTGTACAGGTATTTACAGGGTTAAATACAGGGCAGCTGCAGAGAGGAAATGGGAGTGAGGGTGAGAATCATGATGGAAGTGAAAGTTTCAGCAGTGAAAGTTGCAGCAGTCTTGCAGCATATTACAGGACAGAGATTCAACTCTGGCACATTCATCAGGTTAGACCAGTGATTTTCATGAGTCAGTTCTCGGACTCCGTATTAAGGTTTTTGCACCCGCCAACCCAATCGCTTGAGTTCAGTTGCATAGCTCATTGATTTATGTGGATATTACATGTTGCCAGCTACAGTATTTAGAATGGAATAGATTAAAAGGGAGCATGCGTGTTGTGGTGTCATACACATACCATTTACCCATGAGCAGCTCAGTTGATATAATCAAGACATGAGGTGGAATGGAAACCTGCACCAAGAGACTGTAGGGCTACTTGAGGGCTTTAGATTCTCCCCCATTACACAGGAGACAGTAAACACGATGAGGGTGTGTGTGAGAGGAATACTGGGACTGCTGTGGAATATCAAGTAAACTAAGGAGAGTTGAGAAAAGGCTCCCCCTAGAGGTGAGGGGGGGTGCATGAGCAGGTTCAGTCCACATTACATTTTAGTCATTTAGCAGACGCTCTTATCCAGAGCGACTTACAGTTAGTGAGTGCATACATTTTTCATACTGGCCCCCCGTGGGAATCGAACCCACAACCCTGGCGTTGCAAACGCCATGCTCTACCAACTGAGCTACACGGGGGGCTCGCTGCTAGGCTTGTCCTTGACCTGGCTCAGGTGGCTCACAGCGCGATGGAAGGCGGTCTGCACAGCTTTACGGATGCCAGAGGAGCAGCCCTCCATCAGTTTGATCTTGTCCACAGTCTTATTGATACCAAAGGGAACCATCTTGGATCTAGGAAGCCATTGCCTGTCAAAGACAGTGACGTATCATTAGGATGATGCTAGAATTATGCTACATCATATTACCTCTGACTGTCATTGCAACTCAAGATAACCTAAGCACTTACTCTGTTTGCATAAAAATAAACTGTCATGTTTTAAGATTATTATAAGTGGCAAACTATAGAAGGGGAGCGCCATCTCACCAGCTGCGCTTGTTGTCGAAGAAGTGGACGAGGAAGAGTTTCTCTTCGGACCTGTACTGCATCTGCTCGCCGACCCTGAGGACGTCCGGAGGGGGCAGGGGGAGAGAGACCCCGTTGTGGTGACACCCCGCCCTCTGCATCTTGGGGTCTATGATCTGCATGGGGGAGGGGGGCGAGAGAAGTGATTGGTTGTAATGGCCTGAAAACAAGAGGATGCAGGGAATCCTGGTTGTGGTGCAGCAAAGGTTCAAACTGGTGGACAGGAACTGCCATTAACACAATCACACACTGAACAGACACACAGATGCCATGCTACCCGAGTCACCCAGAAAGCTGTAAGCAATCTGTGTGGCTCCTAACACACTCATACCACCCACTACACATTGAAGCTGAGCAGCTAGCTGCAGGGCGTGCACAAACACAAGCTGACACCACTTACGATGAGAGGAATGGATGGAAATGAGACATGTATAGATGGGCATTGGCCAGTCTGGGACATGCGCTCACTCAAACTCACCAAGGCGGGGTAGGAGGGATATCCACTACATTTTGCCCAAACTAGTTTAAGGGGTTCCAGTACATATGTCGCAGCACTAGCAGGCATCCAAATATTTCCGTTGCCAACTTCTACGGAAGCAGGAATAACGACAAGCAAGTTATGGCGGGTTCACTGCAAACAGACACGACACTACTCTAAAAGCCATGCTCACACACTGACAGGAGACACACAACAACATGAACATACAGTACGTTCACACGCAGGGAAATATTACAGGGCATCAAAACACTGAAATAAACTTTTAGTCGTATCAATTATGAAACAATGTGAGGTGGGTGTAGAGGGTAACCATTACTTTGTTTGCGACAGAGAGGAGAAGATGACCGAAAACTGCTGAATTATGTATAGGAAGTGGGATTTCTTAGTCTTGACTGGGTGACAGGGAGACCATTGGTGCATGTCAGCTCAGGCCACTGGGACAAGATGGTGCCAGAATAAGGCTTGTTAAAAAAATAACTATGGCCTCAGTGTTGGAACGCAGAGTGCTGGGAGCCTCTGTTGTCCTTTGTCAAACAAGCTCATGTCACTTGTCACACTGTGCTCAGACACATTCTTACCAAGGAACACACACATGCTGGCACACATATATTCTTGTCTAAATGAAAATACACTGGTTACCCGGACTATCTGCACTGACCCCATCTTGCATTGACTCTATGCACACTCACAAGACTATATATACTGAGTGTACAAAACAATAGGAACACCTGCTCTTTCCATGACAGACTGACCAGGTGAAAGCTATGATCCCTTATTGATGTTACTTGTTAAATCCACTTCAATCAGTGTAGATGAAGGGGAGGTGACAGGTTAAAGAAGGATTTTTAAGCTTAGAGACAATTAAGACATGGATTGTGTATGTGTGCCATTCAGAGGGTGAATGGGCAAGACAAAATATTTAAGTGCCTTTGAACGGGGTATGGTAGTAGGTGCTAGGCGCACCGGTTTGAGTGTCAAAAACAGCAACGCTGCTGGGTTTTTCACGCTCAACAGTTTCCTGTGTTTATCAAGAATGGTCCACCACCCAAAGGACATCCAGCCAACTTGACAACTGTGGGAAGCATTGGAGTCAACATGGGCCAGCATCCCTGTGGAAGGCTTCCGACACCTTGTAGAGTCCATGCCCCCAACGAATTGAGGCTGTTCTGAGGGCAAAAGGGGGTATCTCAATATTAGGAAGATGTTCCTAATGTTTTGTACACTCAGTGTATATCTGTAATCAATCTCAGAACTTGCCTAACACTCATTCTATGAATATCAATAAGACACAATTCGGGACAAAACAGCCCCTCTACTTAGCCTGGGTACCAGTCAATTTGTGCTAACCTTCCACTCCTTGCCACAAGCAGGTCAGGATTTCAGGCTACCCTCTATTTTTCTAAGCTGAGACTTGTGGTTCATGGGAAGAAAATGTGAGAACAGCACAATTCCGTGATGTCTACTGGCCGATGAGTTATTGAAAGTGGTAGAATTCCAAAGCTATGAACAAGCCTTTGGGTAGCAGGCAATGACAAGAGGACGTTGCCAGCTATTCCAGATAGAAATGTTAGACAGATACTACAAAAATGTATACATTCATCATTCATAATGTAAGTCCCTTCTTAGCATTAATTTACTGAAAGAACCAGTGTCTCACCTGCTGCAATCTTAGCGGCTTTGGTAAAGTCCCCATTTTCGATACAGGTGATGAGCGCGTTTTTGTCATCCACTGTGCTCCTACGCGCCATGGATGGCCTCCCTTTCCCATTTTTTGCCACTCTGACCGTGCTACAGTAAAAACAAAGGAAAACCGAGTAGGCTACATTGAGCAAATGGCAAATGCGCTAATAGTAGAGTGCAACATTTTGCTTGGTAAGTGATTATAGACCACAGACAGCTGCTAGAGGAGCTAGATATTACATTAACATGGCACTGTGATATAGGCCCACTGCCAATCCTGTACCTGGTGCTACACAGAAGAGTGCTGCCAGCAGAGAGAGTCTGCATTATTGCCATTGTGCGGAGGTGTTAACAAGCATACCTTGTGCTACACAGCACGCTGCCTCTAGAGGAGATGCTGGACTCAGAGGCACAGCGCCTGCGAGGCTCCAGCGGCCTACTAGGGCTGGCCTCACTCTCCGGCTCAACGACAAAGCCATTAGCTAGTCCTGGTGACAAAATAATCCATTACTACGACATTTGCAAACCAAAAATATGAATTTTGTACATGAATGAGGGGGAAAAAAGTGATCTTTGTATATTTACGTTTTACCTGTGTCAAGGCGCTTGATGGGCGATTCCTCTTCATCTTCGTCACAGTCTCCACTGGAGCTGTGGGTCCTCTTCCTGGGTAGAAGGAGGGTCTCAAGGCGAGGAATGACCACAGAGAGGAAGGTTTTGGCTCCCAGCGGCGTGGAGCCGGGCAAGTGCTCGGCTGTCCTTGGGGGCTTCTGCAGGCTGGCACTCTTGGACTTGCATAAGAGCACATTGGTCCGCCTGTTGCCCGTGCCAGAGGGCTCTGCGAGCATGGAGGTGGCCACGACACTGAGGTCACTGACGGGGAACAGCGGGTTACAGATGTGCCCGTTGATGGGTTCCCGGGGTACAGAGGTAGCGGTCTTGACACTGTTGCACTTGGAGGTCTTCTGGCTCTTGTCCGCATTGGATTTGATGGGGTTGAGCATGGGAGGTTCTGAATGACTGTCTGAGTTGACAAGTGGCGGCGACGAGTTCAATGGCTCTAGTTTCGGTGGGGGCAAAGACTTGCATCCTATACAATCAAAACAGAAGCACAGTAGAAAATGAAAACATTCTTACATGTGGAACAGACAATCATTAGCTAATAGCCTTACAGTTCATCAAGTAAGACGTGGAGAAGGCTTTATTGAACCAATTCATAGCTTTAAGACAGCCTGATATGTACCCTCTTCCTGTATGCTGTGTCCAGTGGGGGGCAGGGGTTTCTCCTCAGTCTCTGCTGGTGTCGGTTCAAAGGAAGTGGCAGCGGGGCGCCGTGTCTTTAGGTATATCTCGCTGCGAACATCTGTGATGGTCTTTTTGAGCAGCTTCAGCCGCTTGCTGCGAGATGGACTGGACTTCATGGCACTGCTCAGGTCCAGCTTCTCCAGCAGCTCTTTAAGTTGCTCCTCCAAAGACATGTGCTGCCGGTTAGCTGGGTTTAGTATCCGGTCCACTGCAAGACACACACAAACAACAACTTGATTGGCTGAGCTCAGAACATTTCCCCATTCCCCAATGCTACAGTAACAGTAACATAAATCAATGGCTGTGTTCAGCAGATAACTTTGGCTGTGTACAAGACAAATGGAGAAGTAAACATAGGTAGAGTATGTTCTTACCATCGTCCCAGGAGAAAGGGGGAGGAGCCTCCACCTTGGGCGGCTCAGGGAGGTGCATCCCGCTGGCAAAGTCAAAGCCGATTCGCTCTGCATACCGACGAGTCTTCCTGAGGATGGCCTCGCCTTGGTCTTGTAGACGCAGTCCAGCCTTGTGGAAGAACGTGTCCTTGGCGTTGTACTTCATGCAGTTCAATATGATCTGGTTGAAGTCGGCCTCAAACTCCTCCAGGCTCTTGTAGCCGTGGGCCTCGATCCGCTTCCTCATGGTGGAGAAGTCCATTGGGTTCTTGATGTGGTCCAAGTAATCAGGCACCTGAGAAGGACAGAGAGATGATAAAAAGCATGATGGTAAGTGAAAGGTACCCAAATAATTAAATAGAACAATATAGGATCTCTATGAGGGTACCATTTGTTTTTAATTTGTGAAAGCAACATTCTATTGCGGGTGTGGGAGACCATACCTCTTTAACGCTGACAGGCTGGGCAAAGATTTTGGCCTGGTCCTTCTCCTGAAGCTGGTCCAGGACGGCTCGTAGTAGAATGTTGAAGGGTGTGAGCTGTACCTCTAGAACAGACTGTTGGAGCTTCATCTGAATGGGTACAGGACATAGCACAAAGCTGTAGTATACTAACATTTACAAGGGGATCCAACAACCAATTCTAAAGCTAATTTAACAACACAGATTATCTTTTGAAAGTAAATAAATGTTTACCTCATTTTATTGATAGGAGGGCTTACAACTACTAGCCATTGATACGCTGTCACATAAACACTTATTTCACTACTGGGGTTAACAGATTGAAAACCCGAGATCAATTCTCTGTACCTGCTCTCTCTTTAGCTTCTCCCTCTTCCTGATCAGTTCGAGCAGTAGGCGAGCTCGCTCTAGGTCGTGGCGTAGGCGGTGCCATTCCTTTAGCTGCTCCATCATCGCTCGATTATCCTCCACCCTGCGGTCCTGTAACGTTATTGTCCAAAAAGGCATTTTAATTAACATTCACAAGACCTTAATCTCAGGTAAGGGGGCAGAAAATGACAAGGAGCTACAGTGCCTTCAGAAAGTATTCACACACCACGACTTTTGCACATTTTGTTGTCTAACAGCCTGAATTTAAAATTGATTAAATTTAGATTTGTTACTGGCCTACACACAATACCCCATAATGTCAAAGTGGAATTATGTTTTTTGAAATTTTAACAAATTCATTAAAAATGAAAAGCTGAAATGTATTGAGTCAATAACTATTCAACCCCTTTGTTATGGCAAGCCTAAATAAGTACAGGAGTAAAAATGTGCTTAACAAGTCACATAATAAGTTGCATGGGCTGTGTGCAATAATAGTGTTTACATGATTTTTGAATGACTGCCCCATCTCCACACATACAACTATCTGTATGGTCCTTTAGTCAAGCAGTGAATTTCAAACACAGATTCAACCACACAGACGGGGGGGGGGGGGGGGGGGGGGGTTCCCAATGCCTCACAAAGAAGGGCACTTATTGGTAGATGGGTAAAAATTATAAAAAGCACACATTAAATATCCCTTTGAAGTTGTTAAATTAAAATGTGGATGGTGTATCAATACACCCAGTCACTACAAAGATACAGGCGTCCTTCCTAACTCAGTTGCTGGAGAGGAAGGAAACTGCTCAGGGATTTTACCATGGTGACGTTAAAACAGTTACAGAGTTTAATGGCTGTGATAGGATAAAACTGAGGATGGATCAACAACATTGTAGTTACTCCTCAATACTAACCTAATTGAGAGTGAAAAGAAGGAAGCCTGTACAGAATAAAAAATATTCCAAAACATGCGTCCTGTTTGCAACAAGGCACTAAAGTAATACTACAAAAAAATGTGGCAAAGCAATTCACTTTTTGTCCTGAATACAAAGTGTTGTGTTTGGGGCACATTACTGAGTATCACTCTCCATATTTTCAAGCATAGTGGTGGCTGCATCATGTTATGGGTATGTTTGTAATCGTTAAGGACTGGGGAGTTTTTCAGGTTAAAAAAATTAACGGAATGGAGCTCTAAGCACCGGAAAAATCCTAGAAGAAAACCTGGTTCTGTCTGCTTTCCACTTGACACTGGGAGATTAATTACCTTTCAGCGGAACAATAACCTAAAACACAAGGCAAATCTACACAAGTTGCTTACCAAGAAGACAGTGAATGCTCCTGAGTGGCCGAGTTACAGTTTTGACTTAAATCTGCTTGAACATCTATGGCAAGACCTGAAAATGGTTGTCTAGCTGTGATCAACAACCACTTTGACAGCGCTAGAAGAATTTTGAAAAGAATAATGGGCAAATCTTAGAAAGCTCTACACCTGCATTTCCTCTCTTTTTTTAGTCCATATTGAAATGGATAAATGGTACATATCTCAATTTCTATCATCTAAAATCCTACTTTTGAGAAAAAGTATTAGTCTGCTTTATTTTGATTTCCAAGCACTGGAAAAAGGTTTTAAAACAACAAATGTCATGTTTAAAGCAGATAACAATTGTCTATCCCAAGAATTCACATACCATGAAAGCTACTAAACAATTACACTGACCACTAGACTGACCGGCAGCTCTGGTTTGGGGGGTTGAGGGTTGGCCTGTAGCCGCCTGATCAGTGGCACGCCGTTCCTCGACTGTCTCTTCAGCATCCAGTAGCTCAGGACCCGCTCCACAAACACCTTCTTTTTCTGGACAGACACTTGATTGAGGATTGTGTCGAAACTGACGGGGGGGGAAGTATGTTAGCATTGGTCAGATGCAGGATTATTCTTTTTAATGTAAATTTCACCCACTCATTGGGAGGTTTGTTATTTAGGAAAATATTTAGAAACATTTGGTTATTGGCAGACAAATGAAGTAAAAATAATATGACAACCTGCTGGGGGTTATACTAGGCCCAGGCGCAGTGGGAGCCTCTTCCTCGGGCTCAGGCACCACCACTACTCTTTTGCTCTTCTTCTTCTGCCACCCTTTTAACCTCGTCCTCCCTCTTTTGTCACCCCTCTTGTGACAGACACCGTTTTTAGCATGTCCTTCCTCGTAGATCGCAAGGGGTCTCCGGGTGCACCCTTTAGGAGAATGAGCACAGCAGAAGGCTGTTTTCTTCACAGAGAAAGTGGGTGACCCGGTCTCTGTGACTTCCTTGACAGGCTCCATTTTCATGTAGAGGCCAGCCTTTTGGGCACAGCTGACGTGGAAGGCTGTGTAACAGTTAACCTTGTGACACTGGATGCAGGCCCCGGTGCCCTTCTCCTTGCAGAGGTAGCAGGTGAGTTTCCAGCGGGCGGGCGGAATATTGCTGACACCGTCAATGGGCTCGATAAAGACTGTGTCAGAGAAGCCCACTTCTGGCACCCACAGGGCACACACCACGTGGCCCCAGCGGTCATCATCAGTCTTCTTCAGGGCACCGCCTTTGTTGGGGCAGAAGACACACTCAGCGGGCCGTGAGGGACACTGGAGGCAGTGGCGACACAGCCACTGGCCCTCAGGGATGTAGGGAACACCGTAGCACTCCTGGTGCACAGCGATGTTGCAAGAGTCACAGAAGAGGATGACGTTGCTGTCCTGGCCGTCTCCATCCATGCAGATGCAGCAGACAGCGTCCTCATCGATGAGGGTCTGCGGGTCGCTCTGGCCCTGGCTGGCAAAGAAGGACTCCTTCTCGAAGCGGTCCATAAGGAACTCAAAGAGGTTCTGGGACACCTGGCTGATGCCCTCACTTTTCCTCTTCTCATTGAGCAGATCCAGCCAGGCGTAGTCCTCCTCATCCATGTCGTATTCCACCTCCTCATCCAGCTCTTCGGCAGTCTTCTCAGAATACTTATAATAGATGGAGGGCCTTCGAGGCACCGCGGGAAGGTTGTACTCCACTGTGCGGAACTTGGGTTCCAGGAGGGCGCTCCCTTGCGGGGCAGCTCTGCGCGTGGTGGTGAGGGCGGCACTCTTCTTCTGCTGGTTGTTTTTTAGCCTCACCGAGCGCACCAGCACTTGCTGGGGCTTCTCGTTGTTCTCCTTGTTGCTGTTGCACTCCATGATCTCTTGGGCCGTGGGGTCATCGTCGCCGATGACGTCCAGCTTGTCATAGATGCTGATCCTGTGCACACGGCCATCTATCTCTAGGTCCACCATGCGCTGGGCCTGGGCGTATGTCAGGGTCTCCTTGTTCGGTGAAGGTTTGATGGGAGAGGGGGGCCTCTGGGGCGTGGACATGCGATTATAATGCCGCACTTTTTTCTTCATCATGAAGACCTAAAAAAAACTGCACAAAAAAAACATTTCATTGAGATTTTACATAGGCCAATACCAACCAAGATTGCAATAAATCACTAATCACAATTTCCCTTTCTTGGTTTCAGTTGTCTATTATTCTTTCGAGTGTACACAACAGAAGGCTTTTCATTGACATGACAAATATCATGGCATGGATGAATACAATGTGTCATCACTTTTACTTCCTTATCATTGTGTGCAGACAGGAAATAAATGTACGTAGGTGTATGTAATAAATGCAATTTCTCCACAACCTCTTTTTAATGGATAGGCTTAGATTATTATAGCACTTATGCCAATTGTTCAGCAAAGCCTGCTAGTTAGTAAAGTGGGGCATTCACAGATATTCAAATGAAATCTAATTATTAACAACCTTTAAGCCAATGTTATACCTTGCTAGTAAACTAGGATATGCCTAAATTAACTTTTATATTCACCCAAAGTCCCAAACTAGGCTACTTGAAGTATGGAGAGGCAAACCTTTCAGAATCTAAATATTTTTAACTATTCTGAATTATTTTGAAGGTAAAGTGTTAGTGTTGCTAATTGTTAGTTGCATAATAAGTGAACAGATACCATTCATTTAAAATACAAGGTAACTAGAGGAGTAGCTAAATAATTGACCGTTTGCCTGAGCTGTCATCTCTTTTTCGAAGAGACACAGTCATTGGAATGATTGGCAGACTCTGGGCATGTACAAATTACACAACGAAAGCCAAACACAGCAGCTGATATATGACCCCAAATGGGACCAGGCGACTGTTCTTTGGCCATTCCACTGACAACAAACGTAGCTATCATCAACTAACTGAACACACTGTTTCCGAACTCCGAAGAGACGGGAGAAACAAATGGGAAGTCCCTTCCGCATGCAACATCTTATTAAGTTGACAACAGAATTGCTAAGCAACCACTTAGCTAGCCTGGCTAACGTTAGTCAACTGTCAGCAAAAAAAAGATCTAACTAATTAGCTGTCCAGGCAATGCTAAGCTGTGCTACTTAAACACAACTCCCTAGCTAGCTATCGTTATGGTAGAGTTGGCTTGATAGCTATATTAGGCTAGCTGGCTAACTGTTAGCGTAAAGCCAATTTTTTACTACTGTAGCCAGTTAGTTAGGCGCATAACCTACCTACCTAGCTTTAAAATTAACGTTAGTTGAACGTTGAGCCAGGCATAAATATAATATATTCATAGGGAGCCAGGAGAAGATACCGTAAAAGCACAGCGCCAGCGGCCTCAAGAGCTAACTAGCTAACGTTCACAATAAACCAAGGAAGGAAATATGGCGTCCGACTAAAGAAGAATCCGAATCAATTCGTTAACGTTAAAGTTATACTTGTCTTTACTAGAATGTAGAATCCATTTGTATAAATGCATTTAGGTCGTTATGAAAATCATACGTGCGTGGACAGCAAATTTGGCTATAGCCATCTAACGTTACCTTTGTATTTTCTGTAATTCCGCTTTCGAAAACAGCAACGCTTGCAAGCAATGGCGATGTGGCCTGCAGAGCAGCAGCAGCAGTAAATCCACACACAATCCTCTCATCCAACGGGCACCGCTCGAGCAGCTTTGAATTATAAATTTGAACAACGACTGTCTAAATTCCAAATTCGATTCTATTAAACATAAATATTTCTGAAAAGACACCAAATACTAATGTCCTTTTGCGACTTGCTAATGATCAGTAGCTAGCAGCCCCTGATTTATTTTCGCCAACAACAATGCGGTTGTGCGGCTCCCCAGTTACGGCATGACGTAATTACGTCCCAGCGAAAATTAGGAAGTTGTGAGGGTGAAGAAAATGAAAATATCCAGGGGGGGGGGTTTGCCTAGAAGGGATCCAGCTTTTGTTAAATTAACGTCAGATGTGACGTTTCGTAGCACAAAGTTTCTCACAAAGGGTGGCAGGTAGTTTAACTAGGGTTCTTGATTTCATTTTGGTCGCTAGACGGGGAGAAAACGCACAGAATACACGGACAACGCTAGCAATCTTTAGCTGTTCACTACGAAGTATGCAGTTGACTTAGGCGTAGACGGCACGGAGAAGATGGCCGATGGGCGTGAAGGGGGAGAGCCTCGTAAATGGAGTCCCTTGAGAAAGCAAGAAACAATGTATGTCAGGAGAAGTGCAGTATTATCATAAGGAGACGTATACTTAGATGACGGAGGAGGAATTGAGGGTAAAAGAGAGGCAGAGGAGGTCTAAGAGAGAGAGGGAGGAAGATTGTGAGCTTGAGTCGGGAAAAAATGGCGGGGAAAGGGGAGGTTTGTTAAAGAAGAATTGTAGGAAATGTAAGCAAAGTGAGCTTAAGACAGGAGGAGAAATGGAAGTGAATGAGGGTGAAGTATCAGAGGTGTAGGTGGTGAAGTACCCGGAGCCCGAGGCTTGCACAGAGGGTCAGGATAAAGATGAGTCTGTGACAGTAGGAATTACGTTTTTGGAAAAAGTGGACCCTTGCCTTTTGGCTGACACATTTGTGTTTTCAGGATGGGTGAAAAAAGCGTTGGGTATAGTGGAATCGGTGAGGGTAACCAGAAGTGGTCTAGTGATAATTGTTTGTGTTTCTGTTGGTCAGAGGGAGAAGGCGCTCAGAGTTAAACAAATGGGGTAAAGTATTGTGAATTGTTTCGCTCTCAAGAAAAGGGAGCCATTGAAAGGAGTGATTACTAGGGTAGCAGTAAATGTAAAAGTTGACAAACTGAAGGGGAACATTTCCCGGTGTTTGTGATGCTCGTCGTTTTGGTGCGAAGCAAACAGGGTGGGGAAACAGAAGAGTCATTGTCTGTTCTTAAGTTGAGTCTTTGCCTGACAAAGTTAGGATATAAGTTATCCTGTACGAGCTTATGCTGCAAAGAAAATGCCATATCTCACACTGGCCAATAATAAGAAAATATTAAGATGGGCAGTTTGAGATATGGCTTTTTCTTTGCAACTCTGCCTATAAGGTCAGCATCCCGGAGTCGCCTCTTCACTGTTGACATTGAGATTGGTGTTTTGCACGTACTATATAATGAAGCTGCCAGTTGAGAACCTGTGAGGCGCCTGTTTCTCAAACTAGACACTCATGTATTTGTCCTCTGGCTCAGTTGTGCACCGGGGCCTCCCACTCCTTTCTATTCTGGTTGGAGACAGTTTGCGCTGTTCTGCGAAGGGAGTAGTACACAGCGTTGTACGAGATCTTCAGTTTCTTGGCAATTTCTCACATGGAATAGCCTTCATTTCTCAGAACAAGAATAGACTGACGAGTTTCAGAAGAAAGTTATTTGTTTCTGGCCATTTTGAGCCTGAAATCGAACCCACAATTGCTGATGCTCCAGATACTCAACTAGTCTCAAGAAGGCCAGTTTGATTGCTTCTTTAAATCAGCACACCGTTTAACTGTGCTAACATAATTGCAAAAGGGTTTTCTAATGATCAATTAGCCTTTTAAAATGATAAACTTGGATTAGCCAACACAACGTGCCATTGGAACACAGGACTGATGGTTGCTGATAATGGGCCTCTGTATGCCTATGTAGATATTCCATTAAAAAATCAGCCATTTCCAGCTACAATATCCATTTACAACATTAACAATGTCTACACTGTATTTCAGATCAATTTGATGTTATTTTAATGGACAAAAAAATTGCTTTTCTTTCGAAAACAATGACATTTCTAAGTGACCCCAAACTTTTGAACGGTGATGTATGTGTGTGTATATATATATATATATATATGGGCCTAAAAGGTAACTGAAAATTGTGTTGTATTATGCAAGGAACCACTTTACAAAATAATAAAAATCATTATTAGGCCTCTTAGCATACAGAGAATAAGACAAAAATGTAAACACTGCTCTAAGGCTTTCCTGGAGGATTGTTGGTAACCCTTCAGGCTAAACAATATTGCAAAATTACAATTTCAACCAAATACTGTGTGCTACTTCAAAGCAAGGTAACGTTGTCAGTTTTATTTCTCAGCTCAAACTATTGGGCGCTGGAGAGATGGTTTTACAACCGTAGTGAGCATCAGTTTATTAACACACCTGCTCGTCAACTGCGTGTTGCCATTTGTATGCTGTTGGAACGTTTTAGGACATCGGACATGACAATTACATTAAGAGGGCTTGCTGTTGACATACGACGCATCCTGGCGGCCATGTTGGAAGACCACCAAATTCAGTGTTGCCATGTTCGTAGTTTTCCTGTAATTAGGCTACTTTGAAGGCTATGAAAATGTATTGGTTGCGGGTTTTGTTGCACCGCGGCCGCCATGGCATTTCTCTTAATGTGTATATATATATATAGATATTTCACTGTGATCTGCTGCTTACTGTGAGGCAGGCTGTTGCTGAGGGAATGGTGGGAGGGGCGTGTGTTTTGAGAGAGCACTACAGCCAAATATGTTTTATAACTAAACCAAGATAGCCCACAGCCTGTCGTTTCCAATGGGAACAAATGAGTCATAGTGGGCAGAACAAGTAAGAAGGTGGGCAGAGCCTAGCACGAGATCCTATTAGCCCGTTCTAGCAAACAACTACATATTTCCGTTAGGGAACGCCTACTCTGAAGTGTGCGTGTGCAATAACTAAAATCGCCTTTACACTCTTAAACAACGTGATTTTCTACAACTTTGGCAAAGGTTGAAGTCTACAAAACGTAGTCCACACTGTTAATAACAGATTCTAGTTTTGGGAAGAGAAAACTGTATTGAGATTAAATGTTTCATCGATGAAAAAATTTGCAGAATGTCGGCCAAAATCCATCTCGTTCCATCTTCTCCCACTGCCGGTCACTGGGCTTCCTCACTACCATATAAGCGGATGCTTCACATCTCATCGTTCTATCTGTGCTACAGCTATTGGCTGAGTCACGTGAGCGAGAGCGGCACACATCATGACAACTTTGACAATTGTAGGGAGGCTATTTAGATTGTCATTATGGAGACACCTATTTCCAACCCCTTTTCCATAAAACATATT